AAAAAAAAAAAAAAAAAAAAAAAAAAAAAAAAAAAAAAAAAAAAAAAAAAAAAAAAAGCCACAAAATAGAAAATGTATTAATATTTCTTTTTACTTAATTGCAATCCTTGTAACTATACTCTAGTTATATTTTGTTTTAGATGTATGTTTAGGTCACAAACTATATAAAAACAGCACTGATTTATTTATTCTGATTTTGATTTAAATTTGAAATTAAGTGGTCTCTCCCCTTTCTCCTGTTCTCCCTATGCCCCTCACTCAACCCCTACCCAATCAGACAGGATTAGCTTTCATGGAACAGGCTATACAGCTGTTTTCTTACACAGTGTGGCACAGTAGTACTGACAATTTAGGAAATAATTGAAGCAAAGAAATGAATGTTAATTAAGACACATACTGTTAGCTTCTAAATCTGCAGACTTGATCTTCATATTATTTCCGATATCCTTTAGTTTATTTGGACATCAGATGACCTCGAAAAGCAAAACAAAACATTTCTTGCTATTGTTTCTACTAAAAGAAATGCTTAAAAGAGACTCCCCAATAACATTTGGGACATCCTTTTCTCCACTGCAGATCTTGGCTGTTGTGTTTGGGCTTATTTGGGGCATGTGTATTTGTGTGCCTATAGGCAGTGGAGAAGTGAGCTTGAGCAGTGCCACGATTTATGGGGAGGCAATAATGAGCTTCTCCTGAATGCTAATTACTGGAGAATTGTTCAGGGAGACTGCAAGAACTGTTGGTTTGTGGTAAATTAGTCACCAGCTCTATTGAGATGGACTGAAAGTTTAGATCAGAGCTATAAAGGCGCCAAAATCCTGATAACTGACGGCCAAACTTGGTGACAGTACCAATATGGAATACCCCAATTGTGCTAAACGGTGGTAGATAACTTTGTATGAATCTAATGAAATGAGTACAAGCTATATAAAAATGAAAACTTCCAACCACATTAGGATTAAAAGGGCAGTGAGACTGGATTGTTAAATGAATTATCAGAGCTGTTTTGGTTCTTAAATCCGAAAAGCTGCCCAAGCTGCCAATGGCATGAGAGAATAGTCTGCTCTGGAAAGAGCTCTTCCTGGAGTCTGCTGGCCTTCATTTGCCTGGGGATCAAGCTTTCTGGCTGTCCACACACATAAACCTCAACCTTTATCTAACACGGCACTGGGTGGCTCTTCTGAGAAGCCATACTCTCACTCCGAGCAAAACAAGCCTGCATTTGGAGGCTATTTTTTTTTTTTTTCTTAAATCACAGGCAGTCCTCTTTTAATTCCCAGTTACCTTCCTTTTTCATTTCCATTTCCAGCAACCAGAAGAGAGGAGTTAATGATTCATTTGCTCCCAATGACCTTTTGAATAAGTGGACTGCGCTGTTTCAGCCAAACTCTTAGCTCCCCCGCCTTCTCCCTCCTTTCCTTCCCTAGTTTGGCTTTAATATTTACAGCCTCCTTGTCTGTCTACACGCCTGAATGCCCGAAGGAAGCAAAACATTTATTGCCTTTCCCTCCCCGGTGTGCAGGAGCTATTTCATCCAGTCTCATTCCTCCCTTTACATCACACGGGGAGGCTTGCCTCCTGGCTGGGGACGCCCCAAGTTCTTCCTGAGTCTCTGCTGTTTCATCTGTTGATTTCACCAAAACAAAAAGATGGATTCTGACTCCGACTCACCTTTTAACTACTCGTGGCCTTCCTTTCCCAAAATGAAGATTCGAAGAAGGGCATCTAAACAAGGTAGATTGCAGCATCTTTTCTTTCCTTGACAAGCAAAGCCAGACATCCTATTCTTACCTTTCTTTTCCTTGTTTCTTTGCCAGGCTGTTTTTCCAATGTAGTGCGTGTTTATGCGTGTCTTTAGAAAACTCTCACTGTACAGACACATATAGGTTTCTGAGGCAAACCTACTAATTCGTCTTATGTTCCTTTCATTTTGAATCGACGTACCTCGGTGTTATTATGTATGTGCAATTTTCTTTAGAAAAAAATAAGAGGAGTTTAGTACAAGGTAAGTGTTTTGGATTCACTTAATCACAGTTGCCGTGGAGTTACCTTGACAATAAAGAGTCCTGTTGATTTAAACATGTTCAGTCTTTGTGGGATTTGCAGAGAATACGCATGTGTTTCACACCCAGTTTCTGTGTCTTTTGTTTTAGTTTTCAAGTGTGTAGTAATTTAAAAAAATATTTTGTAACTAAGAAAATTTTTCTATTTTATACTATTTTATTGATTTTATAGGCATTATAAGGAAAGGATTTGAAAAAAAATAATTTAAACACAAAAGCCTGTATATCTTCAGAGAATATAATCACATATTAACTAGTTTACTAAAAATAATTGTCAAGTAAGTTAAGTAAAATCCTTTACTGCTGAAAAAATAAGAGCCATTTATCTGAGCATGACTGATAACGGCATGGGTTTACATTGCTTGTTCTCTCTTACTTGCAACCCATTCTTGTTGTAGTGTGGGTCGTGGAAAAAGGGGCAAGCTGGTGCTGGGGTGCAGAAGAGGTGCCGTGAGAAGCTGTTGTCCTATCCTTGGCTGGGCTTAGCTGGTGATAATTGTTGCCTTCTGAGGCTTAAAAAAATAAGATAGTGTCTAATCCTTCCCATTTCTTGTCTTGTGTAGGGGCATGTCTAGTTATGTTTTTTATTTTAAAGAGAAAAGAAACATTTTTAGAAGCTTACAAGCAGAAAAGGTGTTTCTAAGCAGGTTACCTCTGCAGCACCGTCCTTCGGGAGCATACCTGTTCTAGGGAGCAGGGTGGCTTACCCTGTCACCCTCTGCGTCTTCCAGGGGAGGACGGACGCTAGCAGTTGTCAGCATACCAGCTTAGCTTCACGCATCTTCTTCCTTCCTTCTGAAATAAAATAGAAGTGTTTGTTTGGCTTGTTTGCTGTTTGGCTTAGATGAAGGTCAACTCCAGGAATAAGATGTGTTTACTATCTAGGGCTAGTAGAAAGACTCAGCCTGAACACATTTTTCATGTTGCTAGCTGCCATCCTTCAAATTCTATCGCTGAAGACTTTAATAGCTTATATTCAACATACTATTTTTAAGACATTAAAGTTAATGTTTTAAGAATTAATTTTATTTTTTATCTAAGAAAATTGTTTTTTCTATTTTATTGATTTTATAGATGTTGTAAGGAATAGACTTAAAAAAATTTCAACATAAAAGCCTGTATATCTTTGGTGGATATAGTCATATATTAAAGGGCCATGATATATGTAACTTACCATTAAATTATTCAAGGTACAAATATATATATTATATATGTAAATATAATATAATATTTTATATATATATATACACACACACACACACACACAAGAGCACAAGCATGTGCTTATAAAAATAAGCTTGTAGAAAATGGAGTAAAATGTTAACAATATAGAAATCTGGGTAAATAGTATATATTGTTATTCTGTGCTGCTGTTATTCTTTTAGCTTCTCTTTTTTTAAAAAAAAATTAGTGGATTTCTTTCAGCTTTTCTGTATGTTTGACATTATTCTCAAATAGTTAATTGCTTTTCAGAGAGGAGATACACAAAGTCATTATGACTTTGGAGTGAATATTATTAGTTCTGGTCCGTTGAGAGCTGCTTGAGGGTAGGTGCCATTCTGTAGAGTCCACCAAATCTCTGTGCCACTTCTAATCCAGTTAAATTTGGGGACTAATCTGCTTTATTTAGTTTTGTTTTTATGTTGCCCAATGTTGTTGGGGCCTGGGCAGCCTTATACCGTGGAGAGACATGGGATTAATGATGAGGAGGCCAGTGGAGAACTTTGAGAGTCCATTGAAATTGTAGGGAATGCATTTATTGTGCTCTCCTTTTAAATCCAAAGTTGGAGGGTGGCCAGTATGAGCGGCAACAGAAAATCATAGCATAGCTATGTATAAATTAAACATGATTCAAGTGAAAGCAGGTACCTGGGATATGGAAATGATTAACTATTTGCCACTGATAAAAGATGAGTGAAAATAAGGTTGGTAGCAGAGGGGTGGGGATTGTTAGACCATGTTCCACACTTGCGTTCTTTGTTAAATCATTGTGATTTAGTTATGAAGCACAAGTTTGGTCATGCTATAATGCTAGCTAGCAGAGTCCCAGAACCACAGATCCTTAGAACCTAAAGGGCTCTAGAGATGATCTGGTCTAATCCTCTCATTTGACAGATGAGGACAACAGTGACATGAGGGGAGTTATTCACATGTTCAACAAGCATCTGGGGTGGGGGGGTGCCAGGCACTGTTTTTGAGGGTATGGTGAAGTAATGACCCTGACAGATGCTGTCTCTGCTTACAGGGACCTTAACCTGGGGACCCATCTCCCAGGACCCAGATGTGCCCCCTCCATATAGTGGAAGAAATATCGAGGAACTTGATATTTTAGCCTGATGGTCAGTTTGGGAACTGTGGTCTCTTGTCACCTAGAGGATATCACAAGTATTTTTGTCAGTCTTCACAACTAAGGTGGCTTGAATTTCTTAATCATTCTTCCCTTCCTTCTAATCACCACCAACATCATTCTCAGATGTAGGTTCAAGTCACCTGAGAAATCATGAAGGTGGTTTTGAGGGCTTGGAATTAGGCTTGTTGGCAAACCTCTCTTGAATTTGGTCAGAAACAGTGTCATGTCTTATGTTCTCTCTTGTTTTTTCCTTGTCCTGACCTCCGTTGTCAATATTTCCTTTGTTTTAATATCTCCTTCTGTCATAGTTTTCACAATTTTTTTTTGATAGAAACGTGGACACATACATATTACTAGCTTGTACAGGGAATGATGTGAAAATTTAGAGGAAGGATTTGGTAACAAGAGGAAAACACCATTAGCAGAAACCCACTAATACCATATTTCAATTAAAAAGTGTATCTAGTACTTTCTTATCCTCATACCTTCAGAGAGAAGATAAGAGGATGTGACTTAGAAGCAGTGCCTTTGAAAATGACCCATGTCCAGAGCGGAGCATGATGAAAGCAGTTAAAACCAGGCTGCCCAACATGTACTCCTGGGGTTCCCAAGAGTTGGCTTGTTCCTTTCATAGGCAGCCCTAGGACTGACTGTATGAGCAGCCCAGTGGTTAATGATTGGAGTGGGCCAGAATCCATTACTGTTCCACTTCAAGGACTCCAGGAATGCCTGATTTTCTGTTTTGTTGTTTTTTAAAGTAGGAGATTCCATCAAGAAATTTATAGCTTATTAATCAAAGATTGGAAAATATAGGCATTACCTTTACCCAAGGTTTTCATAATTGTCATTTCTTTAAAATGTGTACTTTAGTATAAATCATTAGGCCCCAGGAAATGTTGAAATGTTCTTTCTCTTATGACTTTTATCCACTTGTGTAACTTCTCTCATTCTCTCCTTCCCCAGCTCATATCATATGTTGCCTCTCCAATGACACATAATGTGAAAAATGTTTTTTTCTCTCTCTCTCTCTCTCTTTTTTTTTTTTTTTTTTGCTGGTGCAAAACCAGGTTACAGTTGCCGAAGAAGGCAATGCATGCCAGAGAGCTTGACAACCTTGGACAGCTTAGATAGCACCATATTTTCTCTAATCATTATAAAAATAATATTTATATGGTATCCTATTAATCTTTACTAAGCTATAGTACATGCTTTACATGCATGATATGTGAGTCTCAAAATAACTCTGTAATACATATATTATCTCTGTTTTAGAGGTGAAGAAACTGAAGCTTAGAGAGTTTTACAGTTATTCCCAAAGTCATACCAGGAAACATAGGGAATGGTAATCATGGTAGAATAAAGAAGGAGAAGGAATGAAAGAATGACATATGCATAATGTAGTTTTTACATGTGTTGTCTTGTAAAAGACCTGTTTATTAGATGTGACTGTCACCTTCATTTATTAACTGGGGACTCCAAGGCTCAGAGAGAAGTGTGTTGCCACAAATTAGAGCTAATAAATGGCAGAGCCAGGCCAAGAACCAGGACACTCAAGTGGTTTTGTTCTTCCTGGTATGTTTTACCACCTCTCAGTAGAGGTAACGGATGGTAAACTTCAATGGGTAGCTGCTTGGGTTCACAAGGTACCATTGTGCCTCCCTGTCTTAGCTTCTCCCTCTCTTTTGTGTATCTTTACTAGGAGAAGTGACAGGGGGAGACTCTGGAGAAGCAATATGGTAGGGTTGTTTATGCATCTTGATGCCTTCCTCCTATACACACATATAGGACTTACACACATTGTTGGATTGGAGTTGGGAACAGATGCACAGATGCCTGGAGCACAGAGTGGTTGGCTTAGGAGAGGAAGAGACAGGATGAATTGGGAAAAGAAGGGGCTGGGAGTGCTTTCCACTGTGACCTGGAAAGTTCACAGGTTTGTCCTGGACAAAAAGATACAGTTAGAGAGATTGGGTATGCTGGGAGTGGAGACCCAAGACCCTGAGACCATTGTTTTGGCCTATTTCGTGAGCTCATTCAATGTTTAGAGGGCAAGTACCTAATCTGAAAAAATAATCCTTGACACAATAATTAGGCAGAGGTATGATGGCATTTTAGAAATGTTAACGATGATTTTTAAAGGTGACTTACTTTTATCTCGGGCTTGTCTTTTCTTCTTTCCCTTCCTCCCTTTTGTGAAGTTTCATCAGATGTATACATGTATGTGGATATGTGTGTCTGTATTCAGTCTAAAAACTCCCCAAAGGACAGCTGAATACCATAGGATGAGTAAGTCACTAGAGAAATCCTTATTAAGGAAGAGAAACATTTTCCTAAAGGTGACATAACCTGCTAAGATTTCTTTGGCTCTCAATGAAGAGAGTGTTTAACCTCATACAGAGCAATTTCAATTCCAGACTCTGCCTAGAGGCCTACCATTGTCAGCAGAGTAGAAGAGGCCCATTGCAAACTCTTTGCCAAACAACATAGCTGCATACTCTCAATACTACCTTTAGTTAAACAAATACTTTGCCAAATTTTTGAAAGTAAATTTTTCTTTATTTTTGGCTGCTCAAATTCTTGGACAAGGTATCATTCTCCA